GAAACAGCAATGACATAAGAAAACAAACAGCAACAGTATTAATGACAAAACTGTACAAGAATAGCAGAGTGGTTCACATGTAAATGCTCCCCAAAGAGCCTGACCCGACCCGACCAGAAGAAACCCCTGAACCCCTTCCCTGTCCTGGCCATGCCCCTCCTGGCTACTGCAAACACTAACCCTGTCCTGGCTGGAAGCAGGACATGTGAACATAAGGGACTTCTCTTGAACAGGTTCTTTGGAAAACCTACACTGAAATTGAGCAAGGGGAATACAAGAAAAATTCAGTCCTATGCCTGTGCCATGAAGAGAGGAAAGACTTTTCTCCAAGTTTCTTGGGTATTGTACAGTATTTTCACTGGTCATGAATAAATGCATTTTAAAGAGTTTTTACTACGACCGATCTCAGGTATTTTGGTTTGAAAGAATACCAAGAAAACGACCACACAGGAGGTAATTCCATTTTAATAGTCTCTGAATTTCCAGTATTTGAAAGGAAAAATAATAGAGTAAGTGTGACAGTATACAGCCATTACCTACAGAAGCAGTGTTAGTCAGCTTCTCAACATTGTTTTTTGGTATTTCAAGGGAAAAACATTCAGCCTAAAATTTCTCATCCATAAGTTCTTTGGAGGTTGGGGGGGACAGACCTGACACTTAGTAAGTTGCCTGAGAATCACAGCTTACAGTTACTCAATGTCTTCTGGCCTCACTGGATGAGGTAGAGGTATAACTGATTTCTTCTCTGTATCTCTGGAAAGAGCTTTCCTCATATCTGTGGCAAAAGGAAAAAATGCTATTATAGTCACAGCGATCATTGTACAAAGCCATATGAAGTGAATTCTCTATTAAAATAAGATCATTTTTAATCAAGAAAATTTCCTAGAATCATAGAATATCTCAAGTTGGAAGGGACCCATAAGGATCCAACTCCCTGCTTCACAGGACTACCTAAAACTAAACCATATGGTTAAGAGCATTGTCCAGACTCTTCCTGAACTCTGATGGGTTTGGTGTCATGACCATTTCCCTGGAGAGCCCGTTATAGTTACCAACCACCCTCTCAGTGAAAAGCCTTTTCTTAACATCCAGTCTGAACCTCCCCTGACTCAGCTTCGCTCCATCTCCTCACCAGAGAGAGTGGTGCGTAGTTGAGGAAGGTTTAGACTGTGATGAGGGCACACCTCAGCCTTCTCTTCTTCAAGCGGAACAAGCCCATGGACATTAGCTGCTCCTCCTAAGTCCTGCCCTTGAGACCTTTCACCATCTTGGCTGCTCTCCTCTAGACACGCTCTAGTAATTTAATGTCCTTAATGTTGTTCAGCAGCAATGTTATCAACTGAAATATAACACTGCATGAAACTCGACTGAATGGAGAGGAAGTGGCAGGCTAAAGGGACAAATATATGATTTAAGATGCCTGCAACAATAGTAGATGTCTGTCAGTAGCCCTTATATTTCATAGTGATCCTACATATTGAATGAATAGTGCAAGAACAGAAATGACACACAGCATGGCTACGTAACCCTTTGGAAGGATACTTAAAAGAAAAAAAATATCTAGAAAGAAGAAGCACTTGTGTTAACAGAATCAACATTAACATAGTTGAATTTCCCTACTCCTTCCCTTTTACACTGAAAATGTCACCCAATTCTCTGTGACTGTGGGCCACTGACACTTGTAAATTTGTAGCTAGACATCTGAGAAAAACAAAGTTTCAAGTCCCAGTTATGGGAAGTAAGGAAGAAAGCATTTCCATTCCTCTTCATTTTTTATTCTTATTTTGTAGGTTATTTTGCCAGAGATGCTACAAAATGTGTAAACTGCAAGATTAGGTTTTGTAACTGATGTAATCTTCAGTAGGAAAAGTTATCTAAAGGAAGATACAAAATCCAATTCATCAACAACTATCTGAAATTGTTTCATATACAAAAAAAAAAAATAATAATAATAGTCTTACAAACAAGCCCAGGAACCCTCAACGTGAGAATCATTCCATTCAACTTGAGGCAGAACAAATACTTACCATAAGCATCTTCATCTGGCTCCCCACTGCTGGCAGAGTAGTACTCTAACACTGTCCGGTACACACTGTAGCCTAGTTGCTTATACATATTTACAGCAACCTGATTGGATACTCTCACAAAGAGATCAACAAAAAATCCACCCTTTCTTTAGCGGGGGGGGGGGGGGGGGGAGGAAAAAACAAACAAAGAAAAAACACATTAAGGAACAGTAGGTGAATGTATTTCTAAGTAACAACCCATAAACTGTAACCATATCAAAGCAAGTCTGATGATGTAGTACACTAATCAAACATCTTTCACACTGTAATAACAGATGGACTCCTTTACCAAGGGAAAATTCAAGTATAGGCATAGATTTCATTTTATTTTTGTCACACAGCCCTTCTATACCAGCCAGTGGCTTCAGAAATGTGAACAGAAAGAACAGGACAAGCTGAACAGGCACACAAGCTTCATATCCATGTGACATGATTTAAAAAAAAAAAAAAGAAAAATCCACATTTTAGATTGTGTTGTATTAGGAGGGATGGAATAAGTCACAAAAATTCACTTGCCTAATGGGGGACAGCCCTTTACCTCACAAGGCAAATTTTGCAAAATATTGTATTATTTTCTGTTTTTACCAAGTGGAGTTGCCCCACTAGAATGAGTTAAGGACATTTCACTGTGGGTTCATTTGACATTAAATTAAATTTTCATAGATACAAGTAACCAAGAAGATGGAAAGTAAGGTAAAAAAATAATTTTGTCGGCAGTACAAAATTTGTTCAAGACTGTGCCTGAATGCATTGCACAAAGCTCACAGTTACTGAACAAGTATGTTGGAGGCCCTACAACAGGAAACACTGCTGATGTTTCACAAAGCTCTTTTCCTGTCAAGAAAAGGGTCTTTTATACAGTATCTCTACTGGAATTCAGGCTATGTCCTACTCAATCTGGCTCAGAGAAATCGTGAGATTTTAAACCACTAAGCAACTTTCATAATTCCTGTTCTCCAACTACGAGGAATTTCAGAAAATCAGAACACTGCTTACAGCAAATTTCTGTGTCTGTTTCATGCACATCAAATACGTGAGCCAGGGACAGGTGCCTGTAAGAATATTACTTTTAAAGGTAAGTTTAAAGATAGGCATATCACTCACTTTTCTGAAATTTCTTCCAGTAGCTCCATCAATTTAGCGGCCAAACCCAGCCGTCGGAATTCTGGTGCAACAGAAAGAGCAGTAACATGTCCGTGCCATTCTTCCCTAGCCACGGAGCCCTCGGCTTTCCCCATGACTGTGAACATACAGAGCATCAGCACCTTTGGAGTAACACACCCCCTGCAACCACATAACTTCACAAGAGGAATAAGCCGTGTATAAACAAACGTTGCAATGGTTGTAGTAAAGGCCCAAACAGGAATGTCTACCTTATCACTCTATGATTCAGCAACCACAGAGGATGTCATTTTGCTCAAGTATTACAGCAATTTCTTGACTAGCGTAAAGAAAAACAACTTTGCAAATTCCTTGCTTGAGGTGTGACTTCTAAATGTGAATTTTAAGCAATTCTCACGAGTCTTTCACTGAACAGAATTTAGGATTTGACTAAAATAAGAGAGGAACAAAAGGCCAGAAGCTCAAAACTACCATCCCAGCAAAGATTTGAGACTTTCGGAGACTGTGAGGGAATTGAGCTCAGGAAGCTTTGCCAATCTGCCAACAGAAAGCCAAGGCCCTGCAAACACAGTATGTTTAAGGGGAAAAAAAAAAGGGGGGGAGGGGGAGGCAGGGGGCTTCTTTCTAGTTTCTCTCCTTTCTACAAAGGGCTAAACCAGTGTTAGTTCATCAATGAACATTCACACTTCCACACAATGCTCTTACAGATATCAGTCACTGCTAATAAGCCACTATTGTGGTGAGTACAGAGAAATGTTCTGTACAGCACCTACTTTAAGCTTCACTGTGTTAAATACTTTATTTCTTGGATCCCTGCAAAGATCTGCCGCCCTGCCCCACCCCACCTCTTGGTAGCTCTCTCTGGCATGATTTCTGAAAAAAAAAAAAAATTCCACAGTAACTGAGCAAAGACATCCAGAACCAGAGCTTTCCCTTACAGGACAATGCAAAAGCCAAGCCCAGTGCGCTTACTGACTGTGTGTGATCAGAGCTGAGCACAGTGACTTGGATTCCAGGATTACAGAAACACCTATTCGCCTGTACCAAATCCAGGTGGACGTTACCACAGCCAAGGCTCCTCGCTGCACTAGGAACGTCTAACTGGAAGCTGCTGCCGTGAGTCCTACGTAACACCCTTAGATGTTTATGAAACGGAAAGATGCAACGCAACCTTCCTCTTCCCTGGTCGGTGGAAAACGCGAAGAGTAGGAAAAGCTCCCGCGTTAAAATGCCCCAAATAGGCAACGAAGGGAGACGTTACCGCCGGAGCACCCGGCACTCACTGTAACCCATCAGCTCCCCGCCAGGCGCCTCGGCGACGATGAAGTACTCGGGCCAGTGGGCGAGGTACTGCAGGTAGAAGGGGATCCCGTACTGGGCGCTCGGTTAAGGAGCAACTGCGGCCGCCACGGCTGCGCCGCCCGCGCCCGGCCCCGCGCCCCCGCCCCGGCGGGAAGGATACGGTCTCGGTCAGCGGGTCCAGGTTGCTGTGGGGGAGAGAGAGCGGCGCTCAGCGCGGGCCCAAGCCCGGGCCCGGCGGGGAGCACCGAGCACGCCGGGGGAAGGGGAAGCGCGCAGGGGCTCGGAGGAGGGACAGGGGAGAGCGGGGCCGGGCGGCGCTCACATGTTGTTGAATCGGAAGAGGTCATCGCAGGTGAAGGCGCGGAGCGTCGTCATGGCGGTGATCGCGGCGACGATGCCACCGCTGCCCCGGAACCGCTGCCGCTGCCCCGGAACCCCTCCCGCGCCCCAGCGCCACTTCCGCCACGGAAAGGCAGCGTGAGCGTCCCTGCCCCGCAGAATCGCCCCTCTCCCGACCCGGCTCCTACCCAGCCCCGCTCCCGGCCCGGGACCTGCCGCCGCGGGCCGTGCCGGACAGAGGCAGCGGAGGGTCCGTGGCCGGGAGAGCGGGCGGGTAGCTGGGAGAGCGATCTATGTTTCAGCCATTGAGTGCACATGGTGCATATCTCCTTGTTGTACAGGTTATGCTTGTGTTTCCACAGATAAAGGACCACGGTGGACGCCTGTGCGTTGCATACGACCTTACAGATCCAGACCCTCAGACCGACCCTCGGAAGAGGACCAGCAGAATGTTTTGTGGATACTGAACCACCAATGTCCCTAAGACGTTGGTTTGGACTTGGGAGAAGTGGGGGCCCATTATGGGAATATGGATACAGTGTTTTTGATGAACCAGTGCTAGGCGGAGCCTATTATACAAGAAACATACGGTTATTAGCCCTAGATTGGCAACATGATAGCCTAGAGAACTGGTGGTTGGAAAAACTTTTGCCTTCTGCTATACCCTGTATTGAATGTCATACCACTGACCACCAGTCCTGGGTACTGTGTCAATGTAAGGCGTGTGACAAAAAGTGGTACTGTGCCTCTTCTCGAAGACGAGAATTTTGTAGAATTTGTGACCCACGAGAACGAGTGCTCCCACTTAGGGAAGCTAACATAGTAGCCTTAGTGTGTGGAAAGAAAAGGCTGGTTCCTGATCAGTGGGAAGTACCTGAAGAACAGTGGGAAAAGACAGTAAGAGTGTGCGAAAAAGTTGCCTAAAAACCTAAGTCATTATGAGCAAAGGGCAAGGTAATCTACAGAAAACAATACACATTGCTTTTCTTGCAATGCATTCAACAAGCTATAGACAAAGCATTAAAGGCTGTTTTAATTATAAACGAAGAAGGGGGAATTATGGAGGTGAACAATGTCACGTCCCTCGGGCCTGGGACAATGGACATTGTTGCACTAGTTGGCAGAAAGCTGTGGGAACAGTAAGCAGGAGAAGAAGACACGGAAGAAGAAGATACAAGACTGCAAGAAGGACCTTGGTTGCTAAGAACTGTAGTTATTTCTATCTGTTAAAGCATATGCTGAATTATGTAGTTTGAGAGAGTAAGCATAAGTAGAAAATTAGCAATTTTTCTCCTTGAATTACCTATTGTTCTGCCTAGGGTATATAAGTATATGCATTCTTAAATAAAGGTCTTTGTTTTTGCACTGGAACGGAGTCCGTGCCCTCAATCGCAACAGGCTCAGCCACCACAAAGGTGTCAAACTACCCCAGGCTCCCCGGCGTGAACCCGCAGAACTGTTCTTCCTGGTGTTGCAGTGCTGAGCCCAACAAGGAGATGTGCACCCTGTGCACTCAATGGCTGAAACATGCATCGCTTGCCAACTGGTTCCTCTTGTTAAGAGAGCTGAACACAAAAGTACTTTTTTCTGCCGTGATCCTCACTGGGGTAGACAACAAATATGGTATTACTGATGGGTATGAGTAATATAATTGGCAGCATTTAAGGTCTGAAGAGAGGAGAATTGTAGATAATAGCTTAAATCAATTAAAAATCCTCTTAGGTAAAAAAATCACAGTGTGCCTACTACAAATTATACTGTTGCACTGGTAAGTTTACAAAAGTAGATACATAAAAAGGAAACAACTATAAATAAAAATATATTTCTTGTTAATAATTAGATATTGCACTGTTTTATATTACCCATTTTATAGTTATATGTATAATAAATTCTGTATACACACACACACACACACATATATAAGAGAAATATATAGGACCTCTTAGCCAAAGTTGGTTAGAAGGGAGGGAGAAAAGATAAACTCCTTCAAGCTGGAATACATAATTACAGTCACACAATGAAGTGCTAAAAAAAAATCAAGGAAGAATGATATTCAACTTTATTGATTTCCTGTTACTCACTTTCTAAACAAAAACTGATCAACAGTGTCAATACCACAGTAATTTACTGTTACTGTTACAAAAATGCTCTGGTTGCCCAATTCTCAAGGGGCAGCAGACCTGGACTGCCTATATTACATTAGATTACACACAATGACTCAGGAGTTAGAACCCTCCTTGACTAGAGAACAACAGGATTTCTGGATGCATGTCAACAGTGCAAGTAGAGCTTGCCCATGCAGGACAAGTGGACCATCTCTTTCAAAGTGCTTTTTCTTAGGCAAGATCTTTTGTATCAGATGTAAAAACTGTAGTAACAGATTTATCATCCATAAAACACTATATATTATATAACTTTTTTGGTCTCTGAAATAACTAAAATTATATAATTTACTGTCAAAAAGAATTGTGTTCCTCATAGAAGTAAATGCTTTTATTCCAAGTATGTTTTGCGGAAAAAACCCAAAAAGGATATGGTCTTCCACTAGTGAGTATAATATAGACTAAGAATTAAAAATTTAAAACCATGTGAAGTGTTTTCTAACACTACGGGGGGAAAACCAGAATCATCTTGCAGTTGTAAAAATTAGAGCAATGGCCTTTGTCACACGTTACTGTTGCTCATCATTTTTTCCAGGTGCAGGGCAACTGGCTTCATACTTTTTCTTCAGGCCTTTCAAATATATACGCAAACTGTCAGGGTCCAACCGAGAGTTTCTGGCAGTCTGAACCAATCTCATTGCTAAATGGTACACAGCTCTCTGTTTCATCATCTCAGGAGTGCTCTTCTGCCTGTGCTGCTCTTAAAAATATACATGCATTAAAATATGAAATAAATTATGTTCTATTATTAAAATACTAATATTAGCTATTTTCCAGCCTATTTTAGATCTCCCAATTCTGAGTTTGTATACAAACATTGTATCCAATACAGTTTTACCCTGACAGCTGTCTTCTATTGTCACCTAACAGTGACCTTCAGTATAACCTTTTATAACTGGTTCCAGAAATATAAATTTTAATGAAATCTATCTTCTATAGGCAGTGCTTATCCTGTATCCTTTCAGAAACTGAAAATATATTTGAGTTTTATAAAAACTGTGAATTACAGCATTACAATCTTCTACTACATACCAAAATTTGTTTTGCAATATGATTTGTGATTTCCTTTGCATCCAAAATTACAGATGATGGTAGGGAGGAAACTTCTGCAGCTTTTAGTCCTAAACATATAAAACATGAGTCAGGATTTTTGATGTAATTTTTATTTCTACCTTCCACATTATATCTTCCAGGATTAACTTAGCCTATTTTTTTAAAGGGTGAAGATTTAAATTTTATTAAAATAATTTTGGTACATTTTTTTCTTAGTGTCCTTTTTTTTGTTGTTGTTAGTAACAATATGGTTTTGAGAGTTCATCATGGCTAGGTGGTGTTAACAGCTTTCTTAGTTTAGTCTTTTAATTTGGCAGGCCAGAAAATACTGAGGTTATGCTAATTGCACTCTCCATTAAATCCACACATCCAGTGAATATGGATGTCATGTTCCAATTTCTACTTTGTTGACAATAGCCAAACTTCCAGATACTCAGGGTAAGAAATAGATGTAAAGTATTTTTTGTGCCCTAACACGATTTTTTAACTTTTTCCTTTGCCTGTGCCCCTGAATGTTCTGAGGAAAGCCTGAGGCTCATTGGGTGCTTTAACACTGTAGGGTTAAAAATGAAAAAGGGTCATGAAGAGCCCTTGCACTCTTTCTTAGAATGCAACTTTGCTCAAATAAGCTAAAGCCAAGACACCAACACAGAGCTTCTAAAGGTCTCCTCTTCTCTGAGAATATTCTCCAAACATACAATTCTTCTGAGTTAGTGGTCGTGTAGCACCTAAAATTGAGCCTGTGCTGCCAAAGGTAAACAAACTTATTCTGAAATTAAAATTAAGAAATGTTTTAAGTCCAGGTAATTGAAGCTTGACTGGAATAATTTCTAGTCTTCTGTTACCACTAGCTTGCAAAAGTCATGTGTAGATAATTTCCTATTGATTAAATGTTACCTAAATCAAGGATTCAACATCAGAATCTAGTATTTGGAAACATACAGATTTCTGTAAATCTTTAAAACATGTAGCTATGCCTTACTGTCACTCACTCCTTTATTGACCCATAATCCAATAGTGGCTCAACTCATTCAGACACACATGAATCAAGTAGCTACTGACATTAGTAAAATGTTTTTTTCACTACGAAATTACTTGTAAAGTCTTCATACTTCCCGGAACTACTATCTTACTACATGGTTACTTAGAACACACAAGTATTTGGAACACACTATAGATCTGCAGATCTTTGTATCTCTTTTTGATAGAGAGAGATACAAGCTCAGCAGAAACTGTCATCAGAAAAGTACTCTTCCATGCGTAATAAATGAAACAGTATTCCATAGCAGAATCCATTACCATAGTTCTTTTCCTCTGTGTATCCTTTAGAAAGTGTGTAAGTGTAAGCAATTTTCTCCTTATTCCCAGCACTGCTTCTCACATGTTGCACTTCAAAATGGTAATTTTCCACATTGGGATACAAAGCATCCATATGACACAGTTCCAGGAAATGTGTAGCAAACAGTGTAAATGCCTAAATAAGGAAATAAGAAAGAAAAATTATTTCGGAAATAATCCTGAAATAAATTACAATAAATAAGAAACATTATCTCACAGATGTCCAGGTCTTCCTCCAAACCACTGAAAAGCTATCTTCAAATTACTAAAGCAAATTAAAATCTTTAAGTGATGAGTTCTACCATTGGCAAGTATATCTTTTCCAACTGGGGATTCTCTTGCTCCTTTCTCAACAGGAGGAAAACAACAACAGAAGCAAAAGGAAACCCATTATGCTTACAAAATCTGACTAGTGTTAATTTGAATGATTGTCAAATGGTTGCTTAATACTCTCAAGGAATGCTTTATCAAAAGTACAAGTGACAGAAAATATCTGAGCTTTTCAAACCAAAAAGCCCACAAAGTACTCTGAATAAACTTTGAGGAAAAACAAACATCTGCACACTTACTTCAAAAAGCTAACAGCAACCTGAGCTTGATCACATAACTAGTAATACTAGAGGTGAAACTTTCAACCCATCTAAAACCATATTCCCCTTTTTTAAAGCCTTTAACCTCTGTGATCAGTTCAGAAGTTGTGTACTTTGAAAGGTAACCACTAGGTGAAGAGGTTCACCTTTAACACTGAAGCATAAAGCTGTACTAAACAAAACTAAAGAGAGTGGGTTATTCTCTTTCTTGACAAAAATTCAAGCTTCCCAGCAAGTTGGAAAGATGTGGTGACACAGTGTACTGGTTTTGGATGGACTAGTGTTAGTTTTCTTCATAGAAACTTGTGCTGGGCTATGTTTTGGACCAAGACAGTGCTGGTAACACAGCCAGGTTTTAGGTCCTGCTGAGCAGCACTTGCATAGCACCGAGGGCTGTTCTGCTCCTCACCCTGCCCTGCCAGTGAGCAGGCTGGGGGTGCTCGAGGAGCTGGGAGGGGACACGGCTAGGATGGCTGACCCCAGCTGACCCCAGGGGTATCTCAGAGCATCCAACACTGCAATAAAAACTGCAAAGGAGGAGGAGAAGGGACGGACATTCAGAGTTATGGTAACAGTCGTGTAACGAAGCCCTGCTTTGCTGGAAATGGCCGAGCACCTGCCTGCCCATAGGAAGTACTGAATGAGTTTCTTATTTTGCTTGTGCATGTAGCTGTCCTTTACCTACTGAAATGTCTTTACCTCAGCCCACAAGTTTTTGCACTTTTACCCTTCTGATCTCCCCCCCATTCCACCGTGGGGGATTGAGTGAGCAGCTGGGTTGTGTTTAGCTGCCTGCTGGGGTTAAACCACACCAACCAGTGAACAGAAGTGCAGCTTATATCAGCACTTTTCCTCTATCATCACAATTCTTATTATTCACCCATTATGAAAAATATCATATTTAGGCAAGAAATCTCTACAAAACTGATGTTAAATTATGAGAAAATACTATATTTACTTTCAGGATGACAACATAATTCTAAGGTTTAAATTTCTTTCAAAACAGAATTACCTTTAAATTCAACAGATATTCACAGGTAGCATAACAAATGCCAATACCTTCTTCAGCACTGGTACCTCTGCCAAGTTCATCAATTATGATGAGTGATTTATCATTAGCATTTTGTATGATGTATGTTATCTAGGAAAATATTCAATGTGTTATCATTCCCATAAAGGCATTTTTAAAAAATAGGAAAATTTTGTGTTATTCAGATGAAACCACAGAAATTTTAAAAAATCTCATCAAATACACAACTTTTACCTTTTCAAAGCTTTCAAACAGCTGTCAATTCTGATCAAGCAAATACTACAGCACTCTTTCTCTTTTCCATTGAACATACCACTTTCCTTCAAAATTATATCAGTTTGGGAGAGGGAATTGAGAGGACTTAGGCCCCTACAAATAATCATTTAAGGTTTAAGCAAAACTAAAACTGTTGAAACTGCTATCAAACAGAGCACTGACTCTTACATTGTAGTATCTTTTAATTTAAGATATGCCTGGTTTTCTGTGGTTTATTATCAAAGAGATGAAGGCTGTATTTTGGACTACTTTTCAAAGTATGCTATTTCAGTAGAAATATACTAGTATAATTTCTATTAGTTTAACAGTAAAAATGGGCCTTTGACCCTGGATTAGCTATGTTCAATACCTCTTTCATTTCCTTCATGAATGTTGATGCATTTGTTTCTATATCATCATCCATACCTATTCTGGTAAAAATCTGCTCTGCAATTCGAAAAGAACAATACTCTGCTGGTACATAAGAACCTACAAAGCAAGTAAAATGTAAGTTTCTTTTCTTGGTGTGATATTTGCCTGAATATGTCAGAGGGGAAAAAAAATAATTTTACACTTGGTTTTTATGCACAGTAGAGAATGCACCTTACCTGATAAAGTTTCATAAGATTATGTTCTACCATGACTTTATAAGAAAAAAATTATTATATAGATACAATAATTAAAGAAGCATATTAAAAAACCTTTAAGAAATCATATGCCTGAAGCTTGTGTCAGTTTAAAGGTATGAAAAAGTGAGAATAAATACTAGGATTAATTTACATTTCTGTAACCACTGATTTACTAATCACAAGAAATCTTAGTTTCTCAAACCCAAGGTTATATTGCCTTTATCAGACTTCGAGGCCTATTAGTTTTACCAAACAGAAAATAACAAGAAATCTGCAAAGATACTTTATAGTCTCCTTTATTCATATTAAACTCCTGTTTTTGAGGGCAATTCCTCAAGAACTTGAAATTTTTGGGGACTGAACCCACAAACACATGATGGATAACTTTTTTTCTCCACTACTAAGTAATTTCATTCTAGTAGAGTTAGAATCAGCCTATTAAGGTCTTTGTCCAGTGCCATCAGACTTAGCTTTAAGAAAAAGGTCACGAGGAATTCCTGAATATAGGGATGAGTCTTAGTTAGATTTAGTTGGTTTACTTTTATAATCTTAGTAACAGAACCTTGCAGTATTCATTACTACTTTTATTTGAAATAGTTGCTTATTTATCTATTAATTATACTTGTCTGGAAACATGTTTCTCTACATAACTGAGGTATGCTCAAGGTCATCTCTTCCTTTTGGAAGACTAACACACCTATGTCTGACCAGAATACTTCAAGGACACTTAGTATCAATCTAGTGTAAGGTGCTGGATTGAGTTACGGTGGTCCAAAGAATTAAGACCATACAGCTGTGCTTCTCTAAAGATAGACTGGGGAGCCTTCCAGGTACACAGAGGGGCCCCGTAAGTTTCCAGTGGCAGATGCAAAACCTGTAGTTTACTCTGTCAGCAACACAAGAGCTGGTAGGAGCAAACAGACTACTAATTACCTGTTACTATTTCATTTAGATAAAATGTTATTCTAGAAGCCAAATCATTCAACTTTATAAAAATTTTTAGCCAGAAAAAAAAATGTGCTGCAAAAGATTACTAATATTGTACACTCTCACTCACCAATCTGTGCCATAATTTGGCAGAGTGCAATCTGTTTTAGGTATGTTGATTTTCCACTCATATTTGGTCCTGTAATAATGACAAAATTGTTGCCCTCTGTCAGATACGTGTTGTTAGCCACAGGTTTTTCCATAGCTATCTTTTCAAGAATGGGATGCCATCCCTGCTTGATTGCTAAAGTATCCGTAAATTCTGGACGAACTAAAAGAGAAAAAAAGATATAAGACACTGTGGAGTTAGTATGAAAACCCTTACATTATTGAACTAGTATGTTCTTAAATAAAGTTAATTGTTGCAAGAGCCGAAGTCAAACTCTGTGGTTTTGATGTCCCAGTTTTTACTTTCCTGTAGTGAGCAAGACCAACATGCAGGAAGAATTGTCAACCACTTTCAGGTATACATTCTGACTGCCATGCAAGTCTTCATGATTTATTACTACAAAAAGAAACCGATAACTAAAACTTCATTTCTAAATTAACATTTTATGTTTGTGTTCTCTAGTGAGTAGGGTTGCACTCCAGTAATAAAGAAAAATACAAAGAACTAAAGTAGTTATTTTTATACTGCTGCAAGCATATAAAGTACAGGGGTTGTGGACTCACTCCTGCGTATGTATCTTATATATGCATGGGAAACAAGGAAGTAGTATTCCTTCTAGTTTTATGTTACCATATTACAAAGATCCATTTGACGATGCAAGGCTGGACATGAACCCACAATGTGCACTTGCAGCTCAGAAAGTCAACTGTATTCTGGGTTGCATCAAAAGCATCATGGGCAGCAGGTGCCGGGGAGGATTCTGCCCTCTGTCCCGTTCAAGTGAGACTCCACCTGCAGTGCTGCCTCCAGCTCTGGGGTCCCCAGCACAGGAAGGACATCAACCTGTTGGGAGTGAGTCCAGAGGAGGCCACCAAGATGGTTAGAGGGCTGGAGCACCACAGCTATGAGGAAAGGCTAAGAGAATTGGGATTGTTCAGCCTGAAGAAGGCAAGGCTTTGGGGAAGACCTTACTGTGGCCTTTTCAGTACCTGAAGGGGACCTACAAGAAAGCTGGAGAGAGACTTTTGACAAGGGCATGTAGTGATAGGACAAGGGGGAATGGCTTCAAACTGAAAGATATTGGAAAGAAATACTTCCATGTGAGGGTAGTGAGGCACTATCACAGGTTGCTCAGAAAAGCTGTGGATGCCCAGTCCCCAGAAGTCTTCACGGCCAGTCTGGATGGGCCCTGAGCAACCTGATCTAATGGGTGACATCCCTGTCCATGGCAGGGGATTGGAATGAGATGATCTTTAAGGTCCGTTCCAGTCCAAATCATTCTATGATTTAATAATTTAGATGAGAAAGTCAAGCGGCAAAGGGACTGAAAGATACAAGTGACAGTCCATTTCTTTTGGTGGGCACACACTCGTGCCTGGCTACACAAACTGCAGTTGCAGATTTACTGGAGACACTGAATGGCTTTGGTATTATGATTATTGCTGAAGAAAACTTGTGCTCTGATTCACTTGTTGGGAAAAGGTTGTGATGCCTCAAGCATATCAGTTACTGTTAATTTACAGATCAGTTCACATGCTGTGGCTGATATATCAGCACGTAAACGTTCACAGTCCCTACTGTGAAGTAAACAGATTCTGCCTATGGACTGGAGGTTACACAGCAGCATCAGTAAAGATAAGTTAATACGAATCCTGAGATGGCTTCTGGACCTGATTTACACCATCTTGTGCTGTAGGTAAGTATCTCAAGCCAGCAGTAAAAGAAGACAATGTGGTCATTTATATACTGCAGAACTGGACTAGGGAAGCAGGATGAACAACACGCAAGTGAGCACTTAATTCTGGATTCCTCAGAAGGCTCTACTTCCAAAAATGTCTAAAAGTGTTAAGACATTGAAGGAGAGAAACAAAGGTAGACATATATTTTGTTTTATGGTATAAACTCAGCGATGACCTGCTCATATTATCTTGCTACCTTTAGAACAGAAAGAAGTGTAAACTCAGAATGTTCACAGACTTCATGCTTTCCAACAAAATATACTTAAACTGGCTATCTTGAGAAGACTGACTGTAAACGCTTTCAGCAGCTACCTGGAAGAATTTATTTTCAATGAACAGAAACAGAAAGAACATCAGCACAAAATGGAGACAGACCAGAGACACTCAACTAAAGACTACTGAGACTCACAAAAAGAAACAGAACCAGACCAAACAGCCCGATTATTCTCCAACAGAAGGCTCTTTATCTGGCCCATAACAGAATGAAGGGAGGAACTTACCATAATCAGAAAGAGTGCAGGCATGGGCAAACGAAAGCAGCATATCCAGCATAGACACAATGTCAGACAGCTTGTACAGGCAATGAATATGTTCATAGATCTCATGCAGTAGTTTACACACTATTCTGAAATAAGACACTGATTTAGCTGTTGCATGGCACATACTGTCACTTTATCCAACTTACAGAAATAAGGGAGTTATGATCTTTGTACTGCATACATTAGGACAGAAAGTCACTCATAAAACGCAGTCTCATGTGCCAGATGCGAGCACATGTGTAAATTTCTTTGAAGTAAACTAAAATCTTATACCATCATCTCAGATCCCATCCTGCTATCAGACACAAGACACATACCTCAAATACCAACAGCTCATATGAAAGCTTCACAAAGAGAATGAACTAAAAATATAGCTATGGTATCAAGCATGTTTTATTAACATGGGAAATGCGACTAATTCCTGTAGACCTTCATGTTAATAAAAACTTACAGGGCTGCTAGAAGGAATTTCCATTTAACTGACAGGCAACATTACACTTTAGTAAGTCTTCTGAATCAGACAGCAGAGCAACATAACATGCAGCAAGGACAAGATACAGCAATAGACAGTTCCACTGCAAATACAAGGAATTGATTGGAAGTAATGATTCTGCATTATTAATGCAAAATTGATGCATTCATTGTGCCATTTTGTGTAGATAATTCACCCATAAAAATTAATATGATGACCAACGTTATTAATAAATGCCTATATATCTGCAATCATCTTTAATACAATACACACTTTGGGTTTTTTTGTCTCAGAACATACACATGAATAGTGCTGCTTTGGACTATTTCTGTAACTAGATATAACAGAAAGACAGCTTTAAAAAAACCTGTAATTAGTTGTTAATCGGAGAAAATAAAAGTAGTTAGCAAATATTAAGTAGTTTTAACAGGACTTACAAGTAGGTCATGTGATATATTTCTCTCAGGGACTCCTGACATCTTTCATTCATTTTTATTAAATCTGCTGAAGTGAAGCTATATGTATTTTTCATTTTAGTGATCTATGGGGAATTGAAACCAACAATAAGAACTTGCCTTATTATCAGAGAGAAAAACAGTTCCTAAAAAAACAAATTGGGAACGGTATGGGGGGTAAAAAAGGAGAAAGAACAACACCTGGTTTCATTTTTACCATATAATTTTTTTTACCATAAATTTTTATTAAAAATTCATTTCAGATAACAGTTATCAGCAAGATATATAACTTCATATTTACACATAACATAATCGCATGTAATTGCACATTTCTGACTATAACTGGAACTGACTATTAACTATAACTCAAAATAGGGTAGTTATAGAAACATACCAATTAAACCTTCATTTACTTCTAGCTATCTTCACTGAAATGATTTTGCTTGTTACAGTCTAGTGTGTACTTTATTAATATATATTATATATTTTACATAAAGTATACAGATATATTATGAAAAAACATATCTTGTACAGATACCTTTGTAAATTCTGAGGGAAGCTGGCCATTGGGTAATATTGAACAATCAGCATTCATCTGGATAAAAAATCCACGAGCAGAGCTGAAACTTGTTTTCATTGGTAGGTTGTACTTTTCTGCAAGTTGCGTTATCATACCTACAAAGAAAGATTTAACCCACGTTATATACTTTCATGTACATACACACACTTGTGTTGGTACAAAGATGGATACTGTTAATGGAAGGTTTCAGAAGTAAAAAACAGTAGCATCTGTATTTTTCACTGTGTGTGAATGTAGGATTAGAAGGAAATAGGAAGTTCACAACAAATGACAGGTGCTAAAGTTTCTGATGCTCTTTTAGTTTTCCAATTATAGACTAAACTAAGATGGTCCCTTAGCTAGAAATCAACATTTTATACTAAAAAAAGGAAATCAATTTCAAAAGATATTTTTTTTCTTCTATTTTGACTTAAACAGGAAAGTTACTATAACACAATAACACACATCATGCTAAAATTCCTTTTGTTTTTATTTTCCAGCTCTTAATATAGCTAAAAGGTAGTCCACAGAGAAATCAAGACTGCTTAAAATATAAAGAACCGAGAACTCAGATATTTGAAATGAAGAAGCTGAACCAAAGATTTACAGGTTTTATGTAGAATGCTTTAGGTGGAATAATTCTGTTACATTACTTCAGACTTTTTGTACTTTTACAGGATAAGGGGCAACAGAGCTTTCAATACAGGAATCACAATATAATTGTTCAACTTCATTAAAATACAATTGAGTTTTTATCTATAAACGGAGCATCTCAGTAAGTATCTCAAAAGAACTTCAATAGCTTATCAATGATAATCAATTTATACTAACACAAATACTTTTTACATCTGCAAAAGTCATAGCACATATGATTACACAGCTTCTATATGCCAGCTGCAATGTACTTTGAACTCCAAAAAACCAAAAATTTTACTTTCTAAATACCTGCTATGTCATCAACGATTTCTGTGTATGTTCTACGAGCTACGTCAAGAAATTCATTGATGTTAGGCTTAACAGCATAGCACTTCTGGGTCCTCATACTCAGACATCCTTTTGTATATCTTGTATCATCGTTAATTACAGTTGTAATCTTTTCAAGTATGATTCCAAATCTGCAATATTAATTGTATCACTAATTAGATAGATAATACGTGATGATTTTTACTTGCAATATCATCCTCCAACTACAAATAGTATTGCAAATAATAGTATTACAAATAAGTGAAGCTAATTATCTACTATTAAAACGAAACACTACATTTCATTTCTATTTTCACCTCAGAATGAAGCATGACTATACCTAAGTCTGACCAAAGATACTATTCACACCTCTGGGAGATATAATCTTCCAGAGATACAAATTATTTCTCAAATATACAAGCAAGAGTTGATTTTTGCATTATTATGGGGACTCTAGGAAACCACTACTTGTTTTTTCTGAATTATTTCTAATGGAGCTCAGTTCATCATCAGTTGCAGTATCATAGCTAGCTCCTTTACTTTTTTCCCTGTATTTGTTAGTTGAAAATTGGAGTTTCTGACCATTAAAATCAGATTTTAGGCAAAAGAATTGAGCTGTACCTGTAACTACAGATAAACAAAGATGCAACACCTTTAACCTTACAGGCACTTTTAAGATGAGTTTCTAACATACTAGCTCAAGTATTACGATTAAATACCTTGTATCTTCAAGAGAATTGTAATAAGCCTTTAGCAGCTGCGTGTTACAGCTTCTTAAAGCAGCCTGTTGAAGATTAAAATATGAACATGAACAGTTACTTCTTTTTGTAGACTTTTTAAAGTACTGAAAGTTCTTGGATTCACTTATCAGTGAGGCTTATCAGCAGTTGCTAAGTACTTTGTGGAATCTGAGCAGGAGTTTCAGTTAAATGTTTGTTATAACATCAATTATTCAGATAATGGTAGGAATCCTGCTCTTCAGAGTATCAGCCTCAAATGTGTATTTTCAACTGGCTTAAGAATCAATAGACTGTTGGAAGTATTGTGTTCTGCAAAATACATGTATTTTTTTTTTACTTTATCGGTCCCTTCCAACTTAAGATAATCTATTCTATATTCTATGAAAATTGACAAACTGCACTTCATAAAACTAAGGACAAAATGGTCTGTACTTTACTAAAAAAAAAAAAAAGAAAAAAAAAAAGAAGAGGACAAAGCTTACTTTCAGAGGCTCCACAAGTTCTAAAGTATGCTTCAGGTAGATTAAATTGGTTATTTTTGATTCAGCCGTTTTAACCTGTTGAAAAATTTTCCAAGTATTTGAGGCATTTGTATGTCTGACTGTTTAAAAAAGTACTTAAGAACTAGTAGAACTCATATTCTTAACTCTAACCGGTTTATAAGTTTAATGAAAATTCCTAAAATGCTTCATAAGCTCACTTTGACAAGTTAGTAAGTGCACAAATAAATGTTCACCTAAAACATTGAGGTGGTCCTCATTTCTACCAAAAGTTGGATGCTGAACCAACTTCTAAGGATCTTTCATGATCGAGACAAGAGGGTCTTTAAGGAAATCTGTGTTGGGTTTATTTTGTCCAGATACCTTTTATTTGCTTATATATGTAAACTTTGTAAGAAGAAGTATTTGATTTCACCAGTGATGTAATTTTTCAAGTAACACATCTCAGCAAGATTGTCAACTGACAGTCCTCCCTAGGATGAGAGAAGGCTCATGTTGAACAGATCGCTCACACTTCAGTAACTGAAACTCTAGGCTTTTCAGATGTGCACCTCTTCTGTTAACTGGTGGGAGGCTTACAATGAAAATTTTTATGGAGAATAGGAATGAGACACACTGAATGGGTTAACCTAGCGTTTGATAAAAGAAACTGAATTAGCACTTGAATGAACACATCTGTTCATTCATGTGTGGATAGTGAGCTCTGCTATGTTGGAACCAGTCAACAGTGAAAACACTGCAGTAAAAGGTTTGGTGTACATGGCCCTGAGCACACATAAAAGCATCCAGTCTGACAGTTTTAGTCATACAAATGATCTCTCATTCACGTTACAGATGTCTACAAGGAAAGGTGGGAGCAATAAACATTCTGGGTTTTGCATATGTCATTAAAGAGATTTATCTGCATTTATTATAGTCCTGCTGGAGTCTGTACCTGATTTCTTTAACTAGCATTAGACAAGTCCTTTATCTAAGCAGGAAAGTCAGCATGTGAGAAGACACTGAGAGGTGAGAGAGTTGTATATATCTATGATGCTGGCCTACAGATATAAACACAAGGAAGCATAAGCCTCAAAAGCACTGGCAGAAATATCCTACTCAAGTACAGTAGGCAAACATAACTTATAATGCATTGGTTACAACATGCTTAGCAGAAAAAAGTTGAGGTTCAGTTATCTCAAGCTCAATGTGGTTAACTGTTATGTCTAGTCTGAACCAAGATCCAGTAGTGTGCCACATATACTTACTCTATTTTGGTATTTGTATTACATCTGTTTTAATGTACAGAGTGATATATAAGGCAAGGTCTGATGGAAAAAAAAAATCTTGCTTTGAAAGGTAACAGTCACTAGGACTGTAAATCACCATGCACTTCTTCCACTGATGCTGATGTGAAGAAAATTCTTCTCTCTCATCTGAGTACTGTCAAATAGGATGTACATTTATAAAGAATAAAGGTGGGAAGTGATGAAAAAGTAAACATTTTTGGAAGTATACTTGCATAAATTAAGATGAATATAATATTGATGCAAATATGAATTTTTCTAACATTCTGCTACAAGAATCATCTACTGCTGTAAACTGAGAGACAAACTTAATCTGTGATAACATTATTCCATGTCTTTTTAAGATGCAGCTTTTTTTTCTAATGTATTATGTATATTTGAGACCCCTGGTGGCCTAGTGGTTAGCGTGCAGGACTTTCACTGCTGCGACCACGGGTTCAAGTCCCCGGTCTCCTGGCCTGATGGAGGTCGTTAGCCCTGTGTGGCCATCCATCTATGAGAAGGACACTAAACAAACCTACGTCCTGAGGACCTCACTGCCATTGTCCAAGCTTGCTTGGCCCCGGCAGATGAACCTTAGGATTAAAGGGTGGGCTCAGTTCAGCGCAGGCTGTGTCTCACCTAAAAAATCCATTGCGCAGGCTGGAAAGGTAAAAAGACCTTTCCCCAAATCTTCGTTCGCGAAGATGGGCCATTATTATTATGTATATTTATAGATATCACATTTATATATTGCATGTTATAACCAGATAATTGATTGTCAAGGTGTATTTTGAAACATACTGTATCCTGCTTTGGAATTTGTACCAAAACTGAAAGCAGTTGTTCTGTATCCAGAAATTTTGAGATAACTGTAAAACAAAAGTAAACACATCAGAAATTGAACTGAAATGGTAATAAAATCTATTTTTTTAATGCACACAATTATTTAGTGATACTAATGCTAATCTTTTTCTTACATGCTATCTTCATCGATTATTTACAGGGTAAAAACTAGGTTAAAAATAGCTGCTATCTAAATTATTTTGTCATAATTACATTTACTATACCTAAGCATGTAGTGATCATTATATAAGTAGACATTTGTCAATTCAGAAATATTCTTTTTCTTAGACTGATTCATATTTCACAGATTAAGATTACATGATCCAGCTTCAGGTGGGCTAATTCATACTCTGGCATTGTATTTTACGTTTTTCTGGATCCCTATGTTTTATGAAGCAACAGGAAAAAAATATGTATACACAAGTATTACTTCAGCAGTGTCTTTATATGTTTAATGTGTAATTTATGTATACTTGTATACATCAAACATAGTGCATACCTAGCCACAGAGGTAGAGACAAACTCCAATTCTTCGAAAAAGCTATGGGCTCACTGACTTCTACACAACTCATCAGAGAAATTCACTTTTCTTAGCAAAATACTTGAGAAAAATATCACATCTGTGATATTATAGATTATTTCAAAAAATTAAGTGTCCACTATGCCACCCAACAAAGCATTAAAAAAATACTTTTCAAACATATTGAGTCACATTACACTCTTTCCCATATTAGAAAAAATGTTTAACAAGAAATATAATATTAGGTATTAAAAAATAAACTACTACCTGCTTGAAGACCAAAAAAGAGCTCCTCATCCTGGAGTAATTCCTGAACACAATCCAGTCTCATGTTAATTGTTTCAGCATCAACTAGAGGTTCCAGGATATTGGACCTAAGTCTTCGACTTCCACCAGGAGTTTTAGTGTAATTTAGGATGCCAAAAAGTGTGTGAGCATTCCTTTGAAAATAAAATGGATTTGAAGAATACACCCGTCAAAGAAAGAGATGGTAAATGTCAAGTGACATTTTCAGGTAAGAGTATCCTATAAATTTGAGGCATGTTTTTGGGATGCTCAGCATCTTCCTGTTTGCCAAATATATTATATGAACTACAGCAGTTTAGCAAGTCAGATAACTTAATGTAGTTTAATATAATATTAGCCCTCAATTATATAATTTTCCAAAGTCTAGAAATACATTTCTACTTAGTATTTTCCTCGTTTTTTGTAGTAGTATTCCATTGCTACTGCAGTGGTGCAGTTCACATTTTTCCTCTCAGTTAAACTAATTAAAAATGAATGAACCAATCCTACAAAAGGAGACAAATTATAATCAGAGATCAAATACTAATCAGAACATTTTCATAGAAATACATTCCTGAAAATAATTTAAAATACTTAGAAGTCCAAAAGATAAAAAATCTTTGATTTTATTTTTTGAAGAACTGATTTACAGTCAATACAGGAGCTAAATAACATGTTTATGATTTATAAATATTATTTCATGTGTATTGCTTTTACATGTTACATATCCCAGGGTTTCATACTTAAGGGTGATTGTACCTTTCTAGAATAAGCCACCTATAATATCTACATCTAGCACATGGCCAAACAGTTTTAGAAAGATGAAACCTTCAATGCTGTTGACTGGAAGAAGGCCAATGAAAACACTGGGGCCACATTAACATACTGATTTAAACCAGAACCTGAATAGGAAGAAATCTGATACAAATTTACAAAACAAACACCATGAGATAGATAGATAGACAGATAGAGCAGAAACTCCTGAAATACCACAACATAAAAGAAAAAGGTAACAGCCAAGATAATAAAAAAAAAGGGGAAATTCAAAACCAGTTTTATTCAGGGCATATTTACCATAAGATGCAACTCATGAAAACACTTAAGGGGAACTCTACATTTGAGATAGTATCCACAGTGACTACCTTTAAGCAACTGAGGACTTATTTCCCTGTACAGTAAATGAAGAGAGACAAGCTCCAGATTTAAGACTGGCACAAAAACTTGATTTAGATGTTTCTAGTGTGTGCCTGTACTATTAACTTTTACCTGTTAATATCTGATACAAAGATATCTAACCAGGCTTCACCGTAAGATCTATGTAATGGAAATAGCTATGTGTGGCTGATTCACACTTGCCACTATATCAGCAAAAATTCTGCACCAATAATGCTAAACAGCTTTCAGAAAAATATTGCTCCAAAGATACCTTCCAGTCTAAGACTTCTGTGTTTCTACTACATCTCCCCAGGGGGAAAGCTCCTATGAATAATACTTCGAGAGTGAGGAATCTTCAGGTTTCCCTTTTTATATCAGGGTGGTTAAGTGAACATCTAAACAGAGGTGGATCTCAGAACCTGACAGCCAGCAAAATGCAAGTTCCAAGTACTTCTCTTGCTAACCAGAAGTGTAACAGCCTGGAGATGATAAGCCTTGAAGTTTCTTCTCCCTAGAGGGCATGTAACTCCTGAGGAAGGAAATCCTCCAAGTATTGATCTCATTGTAGAGAACTACCATACAATCAAGTGCCACATTGCACATTACCATTGTTGTAGAAATTAATCTCTTTGCCACTATTAGAGCTAAAGGAAAACAAAACAACCTTTCAAGCCTGAAGCGTTTATCTTGTGTAAAATAAGTAAAGCACAGGCATTTTAATACAACATAAGAAACTTCTTGCAGAAATGTTGCCTCTTTCATTTCACAATCTATGAAATTTTGCAGAAACATAAATTTCAAGTCTGAATAAAATATACACATCAGTGTAAAGATGACTATGCATCATCTCTTTCCACAGTTCACTTGTAGGATTTCCTATGCTAGAAATTTTGTGCTGAATTGTAATGTATTTCTCTGTCCAAATATGTTTTTAAATGCTCTGAATGGTATGTAAATACTTTCATACAGAAATAAATATAATTGTCAGCTCTTTGACACAAGTGTCAAGGAAACTTAGTGAAATACAACTTTATAAAAGCATAACTTGCAAAAATATTCTTACCGAGAATCTCTGTTATTAATTATCAGTTCAAGATTTTGTGCTGATGATGAATCTATCATAGCTGTTTTCTCACTCCCCTGGAAACGCACCTTGAGTGATTTAGGAGCATAAACGGAATTTTGAATAAATTCAACATATTTTAGCAAAGCTGAAGCAGCTGCAAGACAGTAATACCTAGGAAAGAAACAATCTTTAATGAATGTTGAATAGTGCTATTGAAATATCACAAAAGTCATGCACAACAGAAATAACATTCACACTTCTGCTTGACAACTACTGGGATTAATAGCACTGAAAAAGCAGTATATTTCAAACATGCATTAACACATGTCCAGTGAACATATATTCTTTCAAATCAAATATCCATGAATGTTTGAGCCTCTGTACACCCTACACTATATAGCCGGTATTGTGAACATAACATATTTCAGTAGTTATATGTGACTTTAAGACCCTGGTCACCAAGTATCACTACCTAAAATTGTTGATACAAGGAAAACATTTGCTGAGGCCAGAAAGAAAGGCAATCATAGCTCTCCAAATTTATCTCTAAGGGAAGAATGAAAAGGACAAAGTGGAAAGCTGTGGAAACTCAAAAAATCACGCAACTCTACAACAGGCTTTCTATTAAGGTTTCTAGATATACCAGAAACACCAGATGGCAAAATAGAAGGACAGCTCTGCTATGATTTTCTAACTTTTGCAACAAGACACAGGCTCATGCAGTGAGAATGTAAAAAGTTGTTAAAAACTTATCTGGATACAGTATGCTTTTCCTTATTTAAACATACTTTGATTGAACCTCCATGAAAACGGTGCTAAATTCAGATGCACACAATTGTTCTATGTATTCCAAACCCTTTGTTTCATTGAAGTATTTTCTTTGGACAGTTGTAAAAGTCACATTCTGTGAAGATGGGGATGAAAGCAAATAGTTTTAAAAGTTACATCAGACAGACTTCTCTATTTTTCCAGTGATATGTATTCTAAGAAATCTATCAACTGACTCTGCAATCTGTCTTCTCACAAGTATTCACTCGAGCTCACTTGCAGAGGCAGGTCAGTGTAACTCAATGCAGATACACCAGTGATTTATGAGCAAAAGGGAGGAGAGAGGTTAGAAGTAGAAGAGGACTCAAGAGGCCATCAGCTCTGTAGGCATGAAGCAATTCAGGTAGTAATTACTACAGGTAATTTTAAAGGTTCTGAGGCTTTAAAACTCATAAATTACATATACTAGGGTCATCTCACAGGCTTTTACCCTGCCAGTGCTCTTTTTCCAATTCAGTGATACATCAGCCCCATTGAATTATCACGTTGAGAGAAGAAGGGAGAAGCAAAAGAAAATCCTGGATTTTTGTTTAATTTCTGAATCTTTCCTAGGTTCAGTATTACTCAAATCACCCAATGCCACAAATTCAAAACTTTCAGCTTTAATCAGTAATATACTTGTGTCTTTAACTGTCAGGATTAGAAGTAGCAGTGTGGGAGCTGCATTTTGATTATTCTTTGCCATGGTAAAATTAGACCCAAAAATCAAAGAAAACAAAATCTGTCTGCATTTAACATTTTAAAAGTTGTCCAAAACTCTCAAATCAACAATCATATAAAAATGACCAACAAAAACCCTAAAACATGGAATGAAATTTAAGATCTCACCTTGAAATGCTCTGTAATCAGACTGAACAGTTTTGTTGTGTTCCCTGCATCACAAGCAGTGTTTGACATTATTATTTCTAATGGTGTTAAAATCTTGAGTTTAGTAATAACCTGAACAAAAAATATCAAACCATAAATAATCTAAAATATTTTAGACAATAAAGAACCAGCAATAATGAATTACAGAACCTTAATATTTTAAAATCAGTTCCAGTCTTGCAATTGAAGACCAAATTTTCTGCTAACTTCTACACTAATGAGTCAAATTCATATGTATCTATATATACATAAAACTAAATTTAAAAAAGAAGCCAAACAAACAAAAACTAGAGCTTATCCCCCATTATTTAAACAGAGAATCATATCTGCCATTGAAGCAAGAAATAAATATCCAAAACTATAATCCATGGCTATGATGGGAGGATGACTTATTTCAAGAGATGGCAGCTTTCTGGGCTTGCAGCTGAAAGGTTAATGGTGCTCTGGAAGATGAAGCAATGCAACAGGTCTGAATGCTATTACTCTTTCGATTGAGACTCCTTTTAGATTTTGTTCTAACCTCCTCTTGTAACACTGATATCAGTCTTAATATGTGCATATTTAAACCAGCTTTATGTTATACACACCTCCTGTAGGGATTTAAAGTAGATTACGTGCTCTTCTATTTTTTACTATGTAAGACAGGACAAACATAATTATGCATTTATGTTCACATACACCAGCATACACAAATTCTCAAGGGAGAAATATGAAAAAACCGACTATGTTTTAAGTGCTTAGAAGTTAAGATCTGAAAGAAGGGACAGATGATGTCCCAATGGAAAGGTGAACAAGCATAAAAAATACACAAAATATATCATCTAAGGGTATTCGGGGTGGGAGAGCTGTCACTGCCCTTCATGTCTCCTAGTTATTGGGAAGTTTATTTTCAGAGATGTAACAGTTAAAACAAATATTGAAGAATTTAAAGAATACAAGAAAACTTTACTGAATTAATTTGCAGAACATTCAAAAATAAAAGGGTGGACAAGAAAGAGAAAATACAGCTGGATACCAATCACTAGCAAAACATGGATTCTGACAGTGTAAGAAAACAGCTGATCAGCAGATAGACATCACTAAAGTGTGTCAGTATTGTTAAAGGTGTTATTGTAGTATGCTATCAATTAGTATTGATAGTATTGTTAAACATGTTAGAGATTGAGGCAAGAAATTAGGCTGTGTAGTGCATTTGGGAAAAAGCAGTTTACAGCAGCATCTCTTTTTTTTTGACTGGATGGTGAATACAGTACCAGATATGTTCACAGAATGGAGAACTCAGTAATCTAAATGAAAAATTAAGTACATATCTCTACAAATAAAAATGCCAGCTTTTACAATGGTAAGACAGGACAACAGTGAACAATCTGGCCATGGCCTGACAGGTTGTTATAGAAGATAACTTACCAAGAAGAGAGTCATGTTATCAGAGTTTAAAGAGAAGGTATGAAAGACTTCTGAGAAGTAATTGTATTTTATCATTAAATTCAAGACAAAACCAAAAGTAGAGGGGTGGGGAAAGAGTTTGGGCAGCTAAAATACTTCTCAGTTTGAAAAAGATAAATTTCATGGACAATAACACAGTTCTTAACCCTGAGAGAGTAGAACAGGGGAGACTCTAGACTACAAACATAGGTACTGCTTGCTAAAAAGAAAAACCTTTTACTCTTCGAAGTAACTGCAATTGTTATGAAATCATTAGTAAAATTAGAAAACAATTTCCACAAAAATAATCTGACATTTCCTTGCAGAATTCTAGTCTTATTCTTTTGATTAGAAGATTTTTCCTACTAACAAGCAAATAAATTTTTCTTATTTAAACCTCTAAATGAATTGTTATTTAAGTTGCCACATGATCATCTGAATGTCTACATTTTCTCAAGCAATCTCATTTTCAAGGCACACATAATTTTGATTTTTAGTACTGTGCATTACAGCAGTATTTCTGTAGCTGCCATGTTCGATATGTAGCTATGTGTGTTAAGAGCTGGATAAGCCTTAACAGCAGTAATGATAAAAAAAAAATAACATTATAAAACATCTGTTTTAGTAAATAGATTTGATGGTTGTTTATATCCTGAGTCATAGCTATTTACTCTCCTAAGTAAGTTTTTGTTTCTTTGAATATTGCAAAGATGCTACAAGCCACATTATTTTCTAGCATGTGTAACTACAACAAAAACATTACATTAGATGTTTCATTAATGCTCTTGCAAAAACCACAGAGACTACTCTCCAAATTAATGTAGAATATGCAGTGCTGGTAAGCAGAACACTTGGCAGTAAATTGAGTGAATTTCATCTCAAACTGAGAAGGAATATTTCTGCAACCAAAGCCAGCCCTGTAATTACCACACACACACATTTATGCAGTTCAGTTCTCAGAGTTCTTTTGCCTGATGAAAAATATTTTCAAGTTCTACTACCATACATTGCCCAATGCTCTTCAAAGGAAGGTGTCTCACTCCCATATACAAGTGTATTTTGCAAAAACATTCTCTCCTCTCTAAAACTGAGGCACAGTAAAGAAAACAGCAGCCCTTTCAACACTGCCCATTTTCTAGAACTTGTTACCTTCAACCTTCATTTTTGAGAAATCTCTTCCACAAGCTAGATATTTAATTTCCCTTTAGTCATAAGCTTTTTTCAAGAAAGTAAGTCACAATAATTAGACTATAAAATACCTTGGCATAAGTTGTATTGTCTGCAAATTGTGATAATATCATCTCAGGATTTTTTAAGTCAATACTGGCCATTCCAACTTCACCTCTGGCAAGGCCTCTTCCTTCTACTACAGCTACAATAACCGATGCCACACTATGAGCAGAGACTGCAGATGAGGATGTAACTGTAAAACAGTCGCATATATTCAGTTACAGTCAATACAGATCAATGCAAGGTTGATCAAGGAGCATCACAAACAATAGAGCAAGAATAAACAAATACAGACACAGGTAGGCTTCAGGAACACTGAAGACTGAACTCATAATCATTAGTCAGACTGTGAAATAACTCACTTTAAATCCCACTACTTTTGCACAGCACACAGATACACTTAACATGGCACAAGGCATCGTTATCCTGCAATACAACTTTGTTCATACAAAGCACTGCAAAATGTACCCCCAATCAGCTACTGTGTAAGTGTTCTGAAGAACTAGTGTTCTACACCTCTGAAGATGCCAACATAAAATGCATAAAACTTGCATCAAGAAATTTGAGAATTATATTGTATGTGATGTCCAATGCATTACAAGCCTAAAAAGATGCCCCAATTAAAGATTTGCATGAATTTGGGCTCTTCAGTTTAGTGACCTCATGTCAACTGACATGTCCACACATATAATTAAATTTTGGACAATTTGAAAAAAGTCTGAATTCTAACTACATTGATAATTCATACACAAATGCAAAGCAAGTGACAAGAGGATGCAATATCAAAACACCTCCTCAGTATCTAAAGTAGTATTTTCCTGTTGGTGTACTGTTCATTGCCAGCATCCTCTGTAGTACAAAACACAGTCTGTGTTGTGTTTTAAAATTTATTTCAATGTATTTCAGTATCTTAACACACCAAAAAATTAAACTGTATTTAACAAAATAACATAAGAAATGTAAGTAGGATTATTTCCTGTAAGAACTGTTAGTCTTACCGGAATATCCCATAAGAGGGGTATGGCTTCTGCAAACAGATCTACTGGAAGAGAGGGGTGTTTTTCCAATACATGTGCTATTCAGGCCTCGCACAGAAGAAGAACTTGTGAGATTCAATGTGTTAGCATTTTCTACACAAGAACTTTTGTCCCCAAAATATGATTCTGAGGGAGGGAGAAAGAAGCGAGTTACGAAAAAAGACACAACAAGTTTTTATTCAGAAAATAATATACAAATATACAGCTTACTAAACTTCATTTTTCTTAGTAGAAATATCACAGCAAAATGGCATTCTATAAAAGCTCTCCAGAGTACAAAATGAAATAAAAAAATCAGACTGTTTTGAAAACAAGCTTGCATTAATATGATTATTTTCTACAAGGGAATTACTTGCAGAGGCAATAAAAAACAAGTTATGCCCTATTGAACAAACATAACAAGTAAGTTATACTCTATTGAAATTAGCATTCTAATTTGAGGATTTTGGTTTTGTTTAGGATTCCTCAGTAATCATGTACATTATCCAAAACCATTTTTTCTTACTTTCCAATTTATGCATAATGGAGATATATATACTTCAGAATGCATTTCAGCAAATGTTAAAATAATTTCTAATTATTTTCATAGTTTTTCTCCACTAAAAAAAATTCAACTTTAAGTTTTTTTTCTGCCTGCCAAGATACAGACTTTGATAGTAGTACCAAGTCCTATGACCGATCTACTGATGCACATATCTTCCTTATGCAGTTGTTGAGGTGTCTCGTCCTCGGGGAGCAGCAGTCTGGTGTTAAAAGCAGCTTTATGTAAAGTATGGCAAATAGCTGCGCTGCATTGTAGGACCATAACGTTCTTACCACACATCACGGATGACAAGCACTTAAAACTACTTCAAAGGCCAAGAAAAAAACCCCAAAACAACACAAAACCAAAACCCACCAACTGAACGTGGTTCAAGTCTCTCCTGCGAAGCAAATACTGTGCAGCAATTCAAACCAGTTTATTGATCCCACCAGGGAACCCAGATACTACTATCCAAAGAAAGTAACAGAGATTTATTTACAGAAGTGCTAACGAATTCCATCGTTCTGGCAAGCTAAATGAAAAACAAGTCCCTAGGATGGTGGGTTGCTGCTGCCCCCTCTCAGTAAGCACCGCTTGTAACAGCTCTTGCGGAACCAGACCCTACCACAGGGGGCAGGAGGATAAAGAAAGAGATCGAGACCCGTGGAGAGACGACACCGCACCTCCTCTATCGGAAACCGCCGGCTTCGCCCCGCTGCGCCCGGGAGCGAGGCCTTCCCCGCTGGAGCTGCCCGGCCGCGCCCCCCCGCCTGAGGAGCCGCCGGTGCTGTCCGAGCTGTGCGGCGTCTGCAGCAGCCCCAGGGTGTAGCGGGGCGTCCGCTCCGCCCGCCCGACCGCGCCCGGCGTGGAGAAGCCGCGGCTCGGGCAGGACTCCGAGGTGGCCGACGAGGCCCCGCGCCCGCCCGCGCCCGCCATGGGCGACCCCTCAGCAGCGGCCCCGCCCCGCGCCCCGAATGGCGGCACCGGGAGCCGCCGGCGCCGCCCCTGCCCGGAACGGCGGCACCGAGACCCGCCGGCTCGGGATGGGCGCCCGGCCGGGTTAAAGAAAGGAAGTTATCGAGGTGCAGCTATAAATGATACAGCAGTAAACAGAGCTGCTGGCCGTGCAACGGGCTTCATTATAAATAGGCAAGGACCAGAGGAATGCGAGGAAAGTGCCTGCTATGCTCTTTACAGCAGAAGTACTGCATTTAAACATAATTTGTCCTGCATTAATTCTTCACCATTCAAACTGTTTCAGCGGGAGCTTCACGGATGTTTGCCTCCTGCTCAAGAGTTTTGGTACAAAAAGATCCCCATAATAACCATAAAGCTTGTTTACCTGTGCAATTGCCTTATATGCTTCTAGGCATGTTTCAGAACACTAACACTGCTTTGTATACTAGCATGTAATATACACCACTAAAACTGTTTCAATTAACATTTTCACTAGGCACTATTCTGTCTCTGGCATTTAATACACCTGCATTATAAAACACTCCAAATTGAAGCCAGCCACAACTCCTTGTGGACAAATGCAGTTTGATGACTATTCAGCTTCACAACAGCAACTCCATCAGCTGCAGCTCCTCAGTTGGCATCTGAAAGATATTGCCCCCCTCCTACCCGTTCAGAACAGGCATGCGGTCCCTCAGCACTGAACACTGCCATCAGACAACTTTAAAAATTTCAACGTCAGAAAGTCTCACTGCAGAGCAAAGTATGGAAGATAGCAGGTGACAATTCCATTTACTGTCACTGTCCTGAAGTCCTACATTGAACTTTCCATATGCATTACGACTCCTACAGCTGGAGTTACACCTCCTCTTCTCTGACAGAAATCCAAATATATGGCAAGAAATGCAGAAACAAAAGGAAGGTCCATCTTTTACCTTTCCTTCCTTTTACATAGTCACAAATCATGAAGCTAAATTCACCTAACCAAGCTGTCTCAACAAAATCTAAAGGAAGCACATTTGAAATAAAGCATATACCTCTGGACTTGACCATGTAGAAGGTAACAATGGCTGTTGATTTCCCCACATGTAAAGAGCTACTCTTTTAATTAACATATCTTCAGACACACAATTTTATGTACCTGAATTAGTCACTATTCTTTCACAAATTCTCATACAGAATCTTTCAAAATTTATTGCTGGGAATGTTGGCTACACTATAGTACTTAGGATTAAGATCTTTCCATATAAAGATTTCAATGGAAAAAAAAGTTATGAAAGTACACTTTCCGAAAACCTTTAATAAAGGACCTGTAACTGAAGACTGAGAACGGTAGATTAATTACTGCAAAGTTTCTAACTAGATAAGCTCAGAAAAAAATCTTAGCAGTATTTTTAACAAAATAGAGGTGGATGGTAACAATGCACGAAAATGACATAAGTCTTAACATAGACACAATCAGCAATTAATTTTTTTTCACAGTACATTTAACGAAAAATGTGATTTTGTTTGTGTAAGAAAAGTTGTGATGATTCTCTTTTTAGAAATATAATACCTAAAGAACTGATGTAAAGAATGGAAGAACCTTCTTAAGAAAAGAAGTGGCACTTGCAAAGGTAACCTGGAATGAAAAAAAAAACTTATTTAAAAATTTTGTGTTAACCTTTACAGTTAAGATAAAACCTGATTGGTGGTCTCATTCCCTTACAATCAAAACTAAGCCTATTGTAACATTTTTCCAAATCTTGAAAAATAAATTAATTCCAGACTTTGACCAAACAATTTACCAAGCAACTGGGCAACCAAAAAGAATAGAGATTTTACCTTAGCTAAAAGCCTGTAGAAAGGCTTTAAAAATTCATTAGAAATACCTGAGCATTTGAATTCACTTTCTGTCTTTGAAATTCACTAGAAGTAAAAGTCTATCAAAAAGTGACTCTGTCGAGTTTAGCTTTCTCTCTACTAACACAGACAGGCTGGATGACACTAATCAGCTGGCTTTTAAAACTGTATTGGATACAACTTTAGGCCTTCGTTAAGCATAATTACAGAGATTATCAAACACTTCCTCCCCTTCAAAATTACCTTTTACTTTATATTATAACTGGACTACCATTCAGTCTCAGCCAAGATTTGTGGAATGTAAATTAAGAGGCAATTTTAGGACTTCTGTGAAGACAAAGAGGACTTCACCTTCAGCAAACAAGTATTTTCCACGGCTAGTTTTATTTTCAATTACACCATAATCAAGTGTTGGTAATTATTGTTTTAAAAGCTACAAAAGCAGGATTTCAACCCAGCAACAAATTTAGAATCAACTCTATATTCAATTACAAGTCACTGTCCTGTACAGACCTTCTCTAGAATACTTAATGTTAGCAACTTTCACTCTGTATACTCAAGGTATGCTGCATTTCAAATATCAGTGGAATTTTGTCTAAGGGACTCATCAATAAATGAAGACATTGATATACTTAGAAGAACCATAATTATGGTTTTACTGGTATCAATTACTATCAGAAGAAGCAGCTTGTTTCTCAGTATAGAAAACTGAAGGTAAGCATGAACAGGAAGAATTAAATACACAAGTGTGTGGCATTAAGTGCATGGCTTAAGTAGGACTTTGTTGGTTGTGTTGTGGTTTTTTTTTTCAATCTTCTTTTAAAGTGCTCTGTGTGATCCACCATCAAAAGAGGCCTGTGTAAAGACTGGTGCTAGCATGGTTGATATCACAGTAACACAAAAATTAAGCATTCACACAATCAAGCTTTGATTTGAATATTTAAAAAAAAAAGCCAAGGCCCATTTAGATACAGATTTAGATACAGATTGGAAATGTTTCTACATCTCTTATAATATAACCAAAGAACATGTTACACTTAGATTATGAGAACCGGCCTGTTCTGATACAATTTACAAAGTGACAAAGCCCACAGCAAAGCTATTGCTTTACTTCCATAATGTAAACATATCTCAAGGAAGAATATGCTGACAGTTTCACAGATGAGATTATAAATTAGTAAAACCAAAGCAACTGGTCATTCAACCTTTTGTCTCTACAAGGCTTAGCTCACAAGCTCAGGTTGTACATTTATTCTTCGAAGGACATCTTCTGGCATACAAAAGACAGGATTGACAGCCTTAATTTGTTCTTCTCCTAATAAAGATAGTCCAGCAATTCCAAATAAGGTGTGAAATGGATCCACCTGGGAGAAAAAAGAAAATTTACGTCCATTTCCAAAGTCAATCACTTTTTCACTTGTACAGAATGAAGCTTTTGTTTGCAAGCAAGAGAACTGCAAATCTCCATGGCTGGGGAAGACAACACAACCGAACAAACATTTGTGCTAACATGTGTGACAGGTGAGACAATTTCCATAGCATGCATTTACAATACTATGATTTACTCAGAGATGTTGTCAATTATCTGCTGCTAAGATGATTTTCAACTCTGAGTTAGACAGAAAGCATTCACATGTGTCCACTGGCATGCAATATCACAGGGTGGCAGAAGCAAAGATAATTAAAACTTTAAAAGTAAATTTGATCATCTACAAGTACTGCTTCCATAAATTCCCCTTTTGTTCTTCAGGAACATCATAATGCTCTTTAATCACCTCCAAATACAGAGCTGTGCTATAAAATCTTGAGATTTTATTATATATATATATATATATTTCTACTTTGCTAGAAAACCTCCCCAAACTATAAATAAAACAGAAACCTCCCCAAACCTGCACTCCCAAAACTACAAGATGCCCCCCCAGAACTGCCAAACTAACAAATAACCTAAACACAAAAGCCCTCAAAACAGGGTCTGTTAGGAGTGAGTGTCTGCAGTAATAAATCAAAAATCTGTAGGCATCAACATTTCTATGCGAGTGCCCACGTCAGCAATGGAGGACAGGTAAAAATAATATGAAATGACTGCTAATATGGCATGCCAAAACCTCTCCCAAAGGTGCTCGCATTAGATACAGGGAAAAGGTTCTGCAAAGTTGCTCTTCCAGGAAGACACAAATATTTCAATAGCTCAAGTTTAATCTCCAAGCCAGAAAAACATTTAGACTTCAAGTGTTGGACTTTTCTTTGAGAATTCTGAAAAGGGAAAATGTCCTTCTGTGAGCTCCTTAGAAATACAAAATCCTTTCTACTTTAAGAACACAAAAACTCTTTCCAAATGACAGACTAAAGAAATATAAAGCACCTTGTTTTTTAATGCATTTGTGGAGAATGGAGCAGATGTGGGCAGCTGCAATAAAACTAGCTAAGGCTTCCCAGACCGTTAATAAATAAGCAGCCAAGTGCTCTATAGGAATTGCAATGAGGTCTCATAATACTTTTTACTTTATCTGTTCAGCACCCTTGAAAGATAGGAACCTTATGTGCCAGTTTACCTGGACAATCTCAATTACTTCCACTTGAAACCAGAAAGAACAGACTAGCTAAATCATAATTGCCTCTCAACCAAGCAGAAAATCCATACCACCAGCCTCTTCAGACTGCTATCACAAAAGCTTCTTCCTTCCTCACCTGGACAAATGCCAGTGAAAGAATTTATTCAGTGGCTGGGCTGGCACAGAACAAAAGTTAGCATAAAGAGATTTTTGATAAAAACTTATGACTCATTTAGATCAGGTAAAACCACCATTCTTTAGCTTGCATATCATTTCACAAAACAAAATAATAAACGCAAAAAACCCACACACATCCCAAAAAACCCACCACCAAACATTGTTTTTACACAGATCTTCCAAGTGGTCTTGTGAGAAACGATTTGTTTCATGTGTTATGGGAACCAAACCAGAAATTGTAGAAAATGGCAACTGACTTTAGAGGGAGATACAAGTGCAATATAGAATATGTGCTCCCCAAGTAAGCCTTCAAAGGCAATTCTGACCCATTCTTCCTTCAAAGTAATTGTAACATCTGCAAAACCTACCTGGATAATGAGTTGAGTTACACACAAACAAGAAACT